ATAGATTTTTGTCAAATTAACATTTGAGTGTCTACCATGTTCAGAAAATTGTGCCAGATATCTTGCATAGATAACTTTAATTTATAATAATTAATAAAGATGTGTGGGTAGAAAATGGGTACTGGGGAGAAGTTATGGAGTGGCCAAACAAGGAAAAGTTATCTTCAAGGTTCCATTAGGACAGGAATGTTGTGATATGTCTGTTTTTGGCAAAGTCATGCTTTTGGCGTTGGGATTTTGATCTCTCTTCTTGTGACACAATGCTCCTGATCTGGTGGAGGGAGTGGTGAAGTGAGACTCTAACTAAGCCTTTAAGGACTGTTTAAGTTTTCTTGAAAAATCTTCTCAAGCCCTTTTGTTTTGTGGTAGAGGACAGGGAAAGCAGTTATTCACAGTCTTAATTGTTAATTGTGTTAGCTTTTCCTGGCGCCATTTCTAACCTATTGTTCACCTCTAACCCATTGGTGTTCCATCTGCCATAGGCCAAACTCCAGGAGTAATTCTTGGTGGTAAAAAGCTGGAAAAGTAGATACTGGAAAATCCAGCCTTACATGATCTTTCCTGGCTTTGATTGGTTCAACTTTTATATTGAAAGTTGTTTAAACACTTAAAATTATTTTTTTCAAGTGGAGAAATACATTTATCTCAGAAGACAACTTGAAAAGTTTTTATATAATTTTCTTCCAAAGAAAATAAACTTTAAAAAAAATATGTATTTATGAATGAATGAGAGTGAAAAAAAGAGATTGATTGCTTCACAGAGTCTCACTATGTTGGGCTCTTTTTTGTTCTAGGGCATGTGCACTTGCTGGAGAGACAGAGAAAGACAGACAGAAAGCAAGAAATCATTCCCAGGGGTGATGGCCATACTGCAGTCCCTTCTCCTCTGTTCTTTTCTCAGACATTTGGGCACATACACGCACACATGCCCAGCATGAGTTTCAAGCTGCTGGGTCTGGGACTGGAACTTTGGTCAGCCATGTGCCTGTTATTCTCCATTGGACTGAGAGTCCAGTGCCTTAACCGCTTTGCCACCTGCTGGCCCCCATGTTGAGATGCTTTTGCCTGACCTACCCATCTCACTATGATTACAGGTTCACACGACTGCATCTGCCTGTTTTCAGGTTGGGCTGAGAACTGAACACAAGACCCCTTTCATTTAACCTCAGCCTCGAATAAGAGCATCTCAGCAATGTGCACCACTGCAGTTGAGTGCCAAAGATGCATTTTAAAGCATTTTAGTATTTATATGCAGTTATTTATTTTAAAAAGATTAATGACTATCTCCATTGAGAAATACTGTAAGTTTTACTATTTAATTATATCAAACTGCTCAGTTTTGTTAGGAAAATTCCCCTGGGCAGTTGTATATTATTTTGCTAGACATATGAACATTAAAAGTCTGTTAAAGCTGACCAAAGTATATAGTTTAATTTTTGATCACAAAGAATAGAAGAGTAACATTCTTTTCAGTTTTGTAGACCTATAATGATGTCATTATCACAATAGTAGCAGTTTTAATTCTTTCCAAAATAGTACAGAGAAGTTTTCAGAGATTTTTAGGAAGCTGTAATTGTGAACGATAAAAAGCATATACCACACTGAATTTCTGCTGTAGCTCACTAAATGATGGAACTGTATTCAAACAATTCAATATATGCTAATTATTGGAGAGTATGACTGAAAATAACAGGGTAACTGTTATTGTTGATATTTATAGAATTTTGACATAAGCATATTCATTTTAGTGCTTTTTAGATATCAGAGATCATTTTTAAGAAGCCTAAGTGCCCCTTAAATGTTTTGCTTCTTTCTTTCTCCCTTTGGATCCTGTCCTTCCACCCTCCCCCATTTCCTACCCTCCTCTCACCTGTCTCTAGTATCCACCATTGTTCTCCATGCTTTTATATCTTCCAGTCTTTCAGTTTCTGCCATAGAGTACACACATTCATTATATACTGAGTCGGCACATTCAACAATAATGCAAAATTATCTGTCGATAATATCATGTGTGATAATATCTTTAACTGGACTTCTGTGCATGGAATTCATGCTGGAAAATTCATTTAGCATATGGTAATGATATATTGTGATTGTATATCACAATAATATATAGAACAATAAATAAAATTCAGGATAAAAAAGAAGAATAAGTGCAACTTCGGTGCTTTCCAAATTAAATGCAGTAACGAATGTAAACTACTCAGCTCAGAGTAGCAAGCAGCAATCTGTGACAGTCATTGATGATCATGAGCGTTCATTCTGGCTTCTCTCTTCTCGTTTCATTGTCTGTTTCACTTGCTTGTATGCAGGGGCAGTTTCCACGACCTCTTAGTGTGATTGCTGTCCATGTGTCTGCCCTGTAATTCTTGGTGTTTTAGAAATCTCTGGAATTACTTCCATATCTGTCATCATTGATTACTCATCTGAGAATACACATTTTATATAGTAGGCATACAGAGGTGTTGAAGAATTTGACCTTTTCTGATACCAATAGTTTACTTTTAATTTTGTCTGGTATCCAACAGCTTGTGGGTTCAAGTGATGAGATAGATATGACCCTAACATGAGACAGATCATACAGAGAGTGGGTTGGGAAAACTGACTCTGCTTTAATGAGACTCTTTGCTAGTGGAATCTGGGACCTCAGAATTCCCTTCTTTGTGACGCTAGTTCTAAGATACCATACAAAAATCATTTTTTTTTTTGGAAAATATATTACTATAGCATAACATGTAATTATTACTTTCCATATTAATTCAAGGGCTTTCTCTTTATTTTTATTTTTTTACACTTAGCGAGAATACTTTCAATCTGCACATACAAAAAGTAAAAAGTAAAAGTCCTCTCCCCCACACTTCCTGTACTACCATTCCTTTGGAGAAGCAAGTTTTGATAGTTCTGAATGAATCTTTCCAGACTGTTTATACATGTCAGCTAAATATACATGATGTTTCCTAGGGTCCTCATTGCTATGGTAGTGATTTTTCACAAGGCTGAGATGATGTTGTCTTGCTACTTGCTTATTTATTAATTAACTTATTATGGTCATCTTTCCATTCCTCATTCTTTTTCGTGGCTCTGTACTATACCTACTGTATTGACGTGCCTGCTCTATTTAGCCTGTTTTTTTTTTTGCTTACAGACGCTCAAAGGGCTCCAGATTTTATCTGCTTACACATCATGTTGCGTGCATGCCACGGGTTGGAAGCTTTTGTCCTGGGTCCTTTGTATTTAGTTTCTTATTGTACTTCAGAGTATCCAGAAGTATAAGCTGTCTGCCTAGTCACTTGTTGGCTTTCAGGACTTATTCTAAAGATTGTCATTTGATCTTGAATAGGCTTGAGCTAGTTGTATGGGTTTTTAGGGTAACAGCAGCATTTTTATAGAAATTTCTTTTTACACATGCTGGAAAAGTAAGATGCACTATCTATGGTAGCTTGGATAAATTTTAGTAGTGTCATCCTTAGACACTTTTATGTTGACAGGATTCTGAATTTCAGAACTGTAAAAAAGATCTGATTGTCAAATCTGTTTTTTAAATTGGTTACCATTAAAGTCAGTACACCTTTTAGAGAATACTTTGAAATGTTTGTGTGTGTGTGTGTGATTGTGGGATATTTTTCTCTTTATATTTCTGGTTAGGTGAAGCCAAATTTAATACGTGACTTCTAAAAGTGGCATAACAAAAGAGAGTCATAAAGAACCACCAAATACCAATATTCTAAGGTTGGCAGTTCTTTGGAGGTGGGATAGTATTCACCAAGGCAGGTGTCTGTAAACTTTTGTTCTTCAGTTATTATTTACTTAGTAGATAAAGTAACTTACTTTCATCATGGCTGCTGGTCATATCTTGGGGTTTAACATCTGTTGGCTGACATTGCTACACACTTTTAAAATTCTAAACTATAATTACCTAGAATGAATGAAATCATTTATGTACATATTTGTACTTAGAAGATTTTATTTCATTTTAATAAAATAGTAACATAGATTTTAAGATCAGTGATATCAAATTGTTAAAAATTTAGAGAGGAAATTACCACTTCTCTCAGGTAATACAGTAATTATTCAACATATTTAAGAATTTTCTTGTGAAATAATTAGTCCCTCCTGAAACTGCAGGCATATTACTATGAAAGCATAGCTATATTTTTTGATTTATTATTGTACAGAGTATTTCATGCACAGAATGAGCAACCACGTTGAACAATTTTTGAGACTATATCCTTATTGTTTGTGATATTTGCTGCAGCAAAGTGGAATTTGGGCCATTAACTAGATTTTGAAACACATTGACAAGAGGACTACAATCCTTTCACTTCTGTAACGATTTCTTACTATCAAGTTTCCTCAACTACCTAGAAGTTTGATTTTTTTCTTTGCTACAACTTTTATGAATTGCTTTTGTGTTTTTCTTTTTCAAAAATGAATACAAAGGAACTTCAAAAAGTTTGGGGGAATATGTAATTAAAGTATCAGTTTATTTTGGTTCAAAATTTTTTGAGATTAATCCATAGCTTTTTTATAAGGTAAATTCTCCTTGAACTTTTTAAAGACCCTCAAGTATTTACTAAGACTGTTTTATTTACATGCAAATATATCCCCCAAATGATCTAAAAGCACTTTTACTCTTAAAGTAACATAAAGAAAAAAATTGATACTGAGATACAGAATTATGAAATACAGTCATTCAGTTTATGTCACAAAAATGTCCTGTAATAATGGATGTGCATTTTAAAATACATACACAGAATTGCAAATCTCATTATTTATTTGTACTGGGATTATACATGATATAGAAATATTTTTTAACAGTATAAAAATCGGATGACGGTTCCTATTTTTAGTTTATTTATAGTTTATTTGATGTAAAATTGAATTAGTGATTTTTATATTTTTTGTGAGTTTACTTCATTTTTATTACAGAATTAAAACTACTATCTTGTGCTTAAATTGTGTATTCTTTCCCAACATCAAATTTCCCTTTTGTCTTTCAGTCTGTGATCAAAACAGGGCGTCTGCTGATCAGTCACGAGGCTCCGTTGACGGGAGGCTTTGCATCAGAGATCAGTTCCACAGTTCAGGTAGAGTGACTTGTTGGCACTGATTCTAACATTTGTGCAATTAATCGCACATGCCTATTCCAGGAAAAAAAAATTACTTATCATGGTATTAAAAATTGTGCCCTTTTAGAGATATACACTTTCCATTATGATTCCACTATCTTTTAGTTAATAAGCTCATTACATGTTCTAACAAAAGAAATCTTAATAAAAGCTGAGAAATTCTTATGGAAAAAAGAAAGATTGAAACGAGTTTGCAAATCTAATTGGGTTATGTTTGCTAGGTTAACAGAAAAAGAAAAATCTTTTAAATTTGAATCTGATAATTCTCTTTTAATAAAACTTAAAGGTGTGAAATGAGTTGAGTATGAAATTGATCTTCAATTTTCACAGCTTTCACCTTCCAAAAATGAGTCTGTCAAAAGCCCATAAGTTAAATTCAATCATTTAACATAATTTATTAGTTCAATTGGAAATAAATTTATGTCATGTATTGGCAATACTTTAGAAATAGTTTTAAAACTTCTGAACAAATCCTATATGCCTCTTTCTGGGTCATTTTACTTAAAATTTTTGTTCATAGATATGCATGACATCATTTCAAGTTTTATTTTTCCTAATTTTTTAAATTAGAAATTAAATAACTACAGTTTAAATTCAGAATATTTTTATAGTTTGCAAACATTTTACTTCTCTTTACTGGTGTTAAAATGCTTTAATTCTTAAGATACATATGAGTAGAGAATTATTTTATAAGTGTATGGCTTAATAATCATATAAAATTTTAATATATGAGTAATGATAAGTTTTAGTTTTTAAAGCAGTAAACAATGACTTTTACCAATAAAATATCTTTATGTGCTGATAGAAAAATTACAGATAATTTAAAATTTGTTCAAATTTATATATACATTTAAAAACTAGATCAAATAATTTATAAATCATGTCAATGAAATTAAACTGTTATTTTTATGTTAGATGTAGTCACTGTCAAGATTAGAAAAGCAAATAGTGAGTTTTGTAGATTTGTTATTTTTCAATTTTCTATATAAATTAAAATTTGAAACATAGTGTTTATCCTTACATTACCTGAGTACCTGGTATTTATTGTACATTTTATTCATTGAGTAGCATAATGTCAAAATGGAGGTAATAAGAATGAATCACTGAAATACCAAGATGTTATTTCAAGCCGGAGGCAAAACTGGAAAAATAAATTGGATTTTCTGACTCCTAGTTAATATGTCGCCTACATAACCATTTGAAACGATAGTGACTCTTATTAATAGAAACTTTGACAGCCCTGTTTGATTGTGTCCAGTGACTGCTTATTATTATCCCCAAATTTTATTTGCATATAATTATGCAAGGAAAACAGGGAGAACATAAAGTTAGAAATTATAACCTTGCTTATGAAGTTTGCTTTCTCCAAGTGTGCTTCTAAAATTTGATTTCCATAAATTATTGGTATAGACTGTAATAGAATGTAACATATTTTTCAGAACTGAAGGGAAATAGTGAATCTTATCTAGTGTCTCTTGGTCTTGAATAATATGTGAACTTCTGTTAATGGAAAAATGTGTCTCAGGCCCCAAGAATACATTAATGCATCCCAGAGTGAGAAACACTGCATTAAGAATTAAACACATTCTCTACAACCAAAATTGAAAATCTTAAAGGTAGTGTCAAAATCAGATCCTGAAATTATGTGATATTACTTGGTGGTAAAAATCGTCAGTGAGGTTATCCAGAATATACAGTCGTATTTATATCATAGAAGGATGACACCAAAACAAGTAATCTTGTTTCAGCCTCAGACTCCACAAATATGTTTGTACAGACTCTTCAGGTGTCTATAGTCTGTAAATAGAGAAATACTACCCTAAACCAATGGTGTTCCTTTTACAGATCAGCATCATCTGGGGTGCTTGTGATTTACCCAGTTTGTAAAAACAGTGGAAAATCTGAGATGAGGACAGGAATCGTAACTAAATGTTAAATGTGCACACAAGCATTCTTTATTCAAAGTCCTCTTCCCCCCAAGAGTAAGATAGAAGTTTTAAATTAATTATAAAATATTCTGTCTTCATGGTAAAGCCACTGAACCAGCTAACCACAGACTGAATTAGGACAATACTGAAAAATGTATAGGGGAATGTACGTTTAATATTTTATCTAGAGTTAGAATTCAGATTTATTACTATAAAGATGAAATTGAAAAGGTCTATGATTCTTGCATAATTCATATTTTATCAGTATAAATAAGAAGTGCAGAAAATGAATTATAATAATATTTTAACAAGCATGATATCCCCAAATATTTGTCTTTTGTAGCTTTTGTCTGTTGATAAGGGAGATAAAAAAAGAAAGTTGGACATTTGACATTTTTTCTCCTTTTTTGATAGTAACATTTGCATATAATTTTGAGTACTCTGAATAACAAAACTTGCTTTTCATCATTTTATATACATATTCAACTAAAGGCAGGGTCCTGTATTGAGCATCTTCTCTACGAAAGGTCTTGCTCCACAATATAATTGAAACCTATATCAAATTACCAGTGCCTTAGGGTGCTTAAACTGAAATCACATTAGTATGAGTTACAGTTGCTCTCACTACTTCAAGTGATTTTTATTTCTGTATTCCTTTTTGTTGCATATACATGTTGCATATACATTGTAAGCTTAAGAAAGATAAACAGGGTTAAGATGTTGAAAGCCAGCTTTCTGGAACTGCAAGGTAAAGGTACACAGAATTTTTCATTGTTGTAATGGAAAAGAAGTTTGAAATTATGGATGATAATTTCAGTATTGTTGAGTAGAATATTGAATTATTCACATTGTTGTATCACAAATGTATTTTTAATGAGAGTGAAAAAATAATTGCTGTACAGGTACCGTTTTGTGGAAGATAGCTGGTAACTTTTTAAAAACATGGGTAATTCTACAAAATTGCTCTTAAAATAGTATTTTAGAAGAATGAAAATAACACGATTGTTTTCAAGTACATTAAAATCTGAACGCTTGTAAGTATGAGGTATTGGCTTATTAAATTTTAAATTATTACCCATATTAAAAATAAAAGATATTCAAGGTAATACAGCATTGTAGCAGCTATTTAAGTTTATAGTTGACATTTCTAGATAGAAATGTTATATCATGCTATATAAAATTAAATATTAAATAAAAGAACCTATTTTACAGAAAATGTTATTAACATTACCACTAAAAATTATTTTTAGTTACAAAGATAAAATATAAAAATAATGAATATAAAATATAGTCATAATTTTTTTATAAAACTCTTTAATTTGTGGCACATGGCTATTTCATCATACAAGTGACATGCCCACATCTTAATTTCTTTCATGCCTGTTGCTTCTTTATAATAAAGCCATTTATTATATTTGTTTTTTAACAATATTTATCATTAGCAGTCTTAGTCTAAAGTAATCTAAACTCACAAGTAATCTGGAGATTATGTTGATTAGGCATAATTCCTTAAGCATATTTATTAATAGTTTCTTTGCAAAATTATATATAGAGAAATAAATGCTTACCAAAAAAAAAAAAAAACCCAACAGGGTATCTAATCTAAGAACTGCTTTGCATTTCTATTAGATTTAATTTGGAAGTAACTAGAAGGCAGAACAAGCCGAGGTCTAGTATATTTGGGCCCCCTCTGGGGAAGATTTCTTTGTCGGTCATCCAAAGCTCTACTGTCTCTTCCCATCTAATTTTACATTCCCATCTGTTCTCGCTTTGGGGTGAGGGAACTTTTTCCTTCTTTTCTTTCATTTGACATATATCGAAACATATGAAATGCTTCTTTTAGAGAGTCATGCATTGTACACCCTGATTTGTGGAAAAGTGCAAAGACAACAGAATTCAGACAGTTCACTGACTCGTTCATTGTGTAGTTTGAACAGAGATTTCATTGTTTCAGAAAATTATGTAAATTAATTTTATACAGTATTTATGTATCTGTAGCTTTAAAAAAAAGGGCTTTCCTGTGCAAAAAAAAAGTGTTAACCTTATCTATTTTAATATTCCCACAAACTAATTTATATGTCCTAGAATACAGTGTTTCACATAAGCATTATTTATTTACATACGGAGACCAAATAATTTGTGGTATTTTAGCAGCTGTAGATAGTGTAATTTCTTTAAACATTATAAAAACCAACCTATATTATTAATTTCCAACACATTCCCATAATGATGAAATAAATCTTGACTCTGATTGAATTATGTGATAGAAAAAAACATTTTTTTCTGGATTCAATGCTCAATAAGAGCGCCAAAAATTTTAGGGATTGTGGTTGGCTTAAAGGTTTGAGTTTTTTTCTTTTTTCTTTTTTTTTCAACACATGGAAGCAATAAGTCTGCAATAAAGAGTCCAATTGGAGAGGATGGTAAGTTTCCATACTATTGTAACATCCTTTCTGTGCGGTCTCTTTTCTTAGAAGAAGAACTCAGAAACTGTGCAGACCAACATATATTTTTTTTAAGGTAATCAGATGCTAACAGTTCAAGAGGATTTTTATAGGGCCTACATGAATTATTATGTACAAAGAAAGTTTCATAACTTCCAAGTTAAGGAATTTGCTTTTCTCATTGCTTCTTGTTAGCAGGATTTTTTCTTTTTCTTATAAACATCATTATTATTAGCAAATTCACATAAGACATCAGTTTAAAGAGCATTAAAAGTCCTATATGATCTTGAGAATTTTTACTGTCATGGAAAATATGTTTAATTAAAATGATCATGTTGGTATTTAGAGGTATCAAAGAAAATTATCAGAGTAGTAATTTGATGAATAGTTCATTGCAATTTTGTAATCTCAATTTAAAACAAAAATGCAAAACATTTTTCAGCAACAATAGATAGGACAATCAGAAGTATATGTCTATACTGAAAAATGGAACTAGAGCATCAGAAAAGCAGTTTATAAAATTGAGTGTTCAGGTACATGATGGCCTTTTTAAAATGCAATTTTGCTTTGAAACATATCAAATATT